GCACAGACTCGATGGGCCGAGTGGCCTTTTTTTGTGCCATAGAATTTTATGGTTCTATGAATCTATGATTATTATAAATAATCTCTGCATTTGACTTAGCACCATATGAAGCCATCGGGACGTCTTAAGGCGCATCACAGGATATACTGTAAAATGGTGTGAATGTGTATATTATTTCATTCATTACTTGGTTTCTTTGATTTACAAATGTTCTTTGTAGCTATGTTTTTCTACACTGACAATCAACGCCAATGTTTAAATTCTTTATTTTTCAACCATTTTTGATAGCTTCTAAAGATATCTCTATTTTCTGATTCTATAACTATCAAACTATTTCAATGCTGTACGCTGATAATATTAGTTGTGCAATAAATATTAAATTAGTCCAACTATGGGTATAAGAGGGAAGGATGCGTTTTAAAGATGAATTCAAGTTTTGGGTATTTTGTTGACTTTAGGTTTCAAAGACATTAGGACAGTTGTTCATCTTACACAGATTTTATTGTAAGAAATATGTCAGCTATTGTTTGTTCAGGTTCTGTATAGATCTCCTCCTTTATTGTATGGAGGAGGTGGTTCTTCTCCAAACACATCATTCTATCTGACACAATAGTTGAGTATCAACTCCATTTACTAACTCACTGTTCTCCTAGGGTTAGGATGGGTGGGGGGCGTGTTGGACTTTATTCTACTGTGTAATGTCTATTGCCCCCACTACATCCCACCTAAGAATAATTAGACCATAATCTTTTTTGTCGGTCCAGACTGAGCCAGAGTCCCCTGGGTATGAGCAGAGTGTGGAGACACACTCCATTACATGCTCTAATCACACGTCCTACGCTGACCGATGTCCCTAATGTACACAAGATGTTCTCTGAGCCCTAGTGTAACAGCTACTGGAACAAGGAGCTGAGTAAAATAATTGATCTGCTCAAACCTTTGTACTCTGCTATATAAACAGCTTGTGAAATTAATTAGGAGGGAATTAGTGCTTGGAGGACATATGCAATAGGAGTACAGGAGTAACTGGTGAGTGTTTATCTCAATTTGTCTAAGTCAGTGGTCAATTATTTGCAGGGTTTATATTGTGCCTATATGCTTTCTAGTGAAACAGTCAGTAGTTAAGAAAAAATAACGGACCTTTGGTAATGTAATTACTTGGTAGTGATTGTTGAATCACCATTCATCAATCCAAGTAAAATGAAACTACCAGCAAGTGAAGAGGAAGTGTTTAAGACAAAAAAGTTTTTTTTTTTGCAGATTGCAAAATGTGTAATGATGTGCACCATTTATTTCTTAATGGTAGCAAATCCTACATTTAGGCAACAGTTTGAGGGATTCACCTTCAAAAATATAGTCACTACACATTAAAGTGCCTTGAGATGGCCTCCTGATGAGAAAGGCATTGAATCAAACATAACAATTTTTTAAGTGTTCTTTCCTCTAAAATTGAAATGGTCTTTTATGTAACAAAAAGATTCCCGTGTGATTTTGGTCCACTGTCAAGCACTCTGGAACGCTATCCTGTGTGAGGAGTGCTGTATAAATGCAAGTTGGTATTTTTGTTGTTGTTAACTGAGAAATATTGCAAATGTTTTTTCAGTGGGTATTTTCTAGAATATACCTGTACCTGACTGTTTCAGTAAATGAAAATTGGAATGTCCGGTGCAAGTCACTGAAGTTCTGTCTATTCCAGATATTCTGTCCTTTAATGTAATTTCTTGAGTTCTGAAGTAATTGACAAAACTAATCTGAAGCAATGCTAGTGTTTTTATCAAGATAAAAAAAAGTCTAAAGCAGTCACGACAATTGCTCAATACATATTGCAATTAATGAGAGAATTGGTATTAAAACCAATGATCTAATTCATCAGGAAAGCTGAACTGTAAAAGTTTGCATTTTTTATTCCAACAACAGATCAAGTCATACATTTTGCAATGCCGCACCCTAACAATGTACTTCAATGGTACCTCATCCATCAGGCGTATTAAGAAATATTGCATGTTGATTACAACATAGATATGCCATGTACAATACATTCAACCAGTAACCATTGAATGCATCTGCCAGTACTTGTTGTTCCTGTAACTGGTGGTTAGTGCACAATTTACTTGCCCCATCCACTTCTCCACTTAAGTTAATTTTTCTTGAATTATTTGGCATTGGATTGACCCTTCCCCATCTCCGATCCCTCTCTTCATGGTGCCTCCAGTTTCATCGAGAAATAGAACTGGGTTCTATTCATCCCTTCCAATAAACAGCTAAAATTCTAAACAGTAATTATTTATCTGATGCCATTTGGGGTTAGAGACTTAATACTGAAAGTAAGTACGTCTAAAAGCTGATTTGCCAGCCAAATGTTACCCACTTTGGCTCATATGTGAGTCTGAGCTATTAATGTTCATTTGGTAAAGCAGCTGTTAGAAAGGCTTAAGCATAACAATGTTTCTGTTTTGACAAAATATGCATGGCAAGTCATTTCATTTATGATACCAACACTGAACGTCCCCCAAAAAATCATATTTTTATAAAGTGTGTATTGGTTGTGCTCAATATGTTTGCTTATTTAATCGCTTTGGCATTTTACAATTTTCTGAATGAAAATTAAATATGACCCTGAAATGTATTAATTTGGCAATGGTAATAAATAATAATTATTGAACAGCTACAGAATAGTATTCAGCAATGGAAATATATTCAAGAGTACATATAATTGGTAGGAATTCAACATATATTCATTGAAGTTGGGACACTTCAGTGAGCATTTTTTAAAAGATTTTATGTGTTTAAAAATCCTAGCATTTCCTTGGATTTGAATGTATTTGATAATGTATCTTCTCATAGTCTTTGATATTATCTTCAACTACATGCAAACCTTTCACCCACAAAATATACAATCAATTCACTTTGCAGTACATTCTATGAAGCGCTATGAGACATCTTGAAGACATGATAAGGTGCTATATCAAATGCAAGGATTATTATTATTACCTTCTGAAGGCTGCAGTAAAGATTATACATTTTATAACAGATTCTGTTGCTCTGACGCTTCTTACAATAATATTTTGTAACATAAATATAGATATTATCTCCTCACAGTATACCTACTGCAAAACTTTGCACATTGCTTTTCCTGCATTTGGATTGTTTCTCAGATGGTGATATTTGGAATTATTTGTTGATAATAGCCAAGGGAAGTTCACTTGTTGAGATCCCCGAATCTTGAGAGAGTGAGAGCTTGCTAATTATGAAATTTGGAAAATAGGATTATGTAAATAAAAATCAGGAGGATAAAATTTGTAACCATATGTATGGATGAATACACTGGATACATTTCATTTTGAAGCTTGAGTACTTAATCAATACACAATAGCCAAATTTAATAACATTTATATTTTTAGCAGTTTTTAAAAAGGCACTGCTGCAATAGATTAATCAGAATTTAGACAGACAAAAATGAAGATACTCCTTACTGATTGGGAGTTTCCATTTTCAGGGCTCAACAATAAGTGTAGAAATAGCCATCATCATCCATGCAGAGACAACAAATTGCATGTCAGGAATTGAATGTGCCTCCTTGATTGTAACAGCTACATGAATTGTTTTAAATATATAGGAAAAATGATGGCGGGACCTTATGATCCTTGGACAAGTTACATGACCAGACAGAATTGTCAGACAAAATGATATGACCTGACAGAATTGGACATTCTTTTTGACACCCTCCCAAGAATTGCATTTTTAAAGCCTGAAAGATGCTTTATAAATGCAACTTTTTGTTGTTGTTGTTGTGATTGATTGATTTTTCTGAAGTATTTGTTTCTTTTCCCTCTTTAGCTCTGACTGATCAGTATGAGATTCCTTTGATGATATGGGTGGTGAAGTGACTTTCTTCCAAGTTTCTGTCAATATTTCTCTTTGACTCATATTCTGATCTCTCCATGTGAAGAAGAGGCAAGCCTCTCCCGAGCCACTGCTTCAAGATGACCTGGGTGAGATTGGGAGCTTAGAGTCAGCGAAATCTGAAACAATCTTTCAATTCTTAGCACACCCCAAAAGTAATCTTATCCAAGAATTATTCTATGTTTAAAATAAATTTAATCTGCATTTAAATAAAATCTGTATTGCCCTTAAGGAATGGAAACATAAAGAATACTTTCAGTGGAAATGATATCATAGCAAACTGTTTTGTAATTGCAGTCCTGTAGCTCAGTGGTTAGAGCACTTGCCTCGCAAGTGAGAGACCTGGGTTCAATTCCCGGCAGGGCGAAACCTTGGGCAAGATTCCTTACACCACACGCCTGATAATAATCCTTAAAAAAAAATTGGTCATTTCAATCCACAACTGTTTGTGGGACATTGCTGTGTGCAATTGGCCCCCGCGTTTCGCCCACAAATATACAGTCAATTCACTTTACAGTCTATTCTGTGAAGCGCTTTGAGATGTCTAGAAGACGTGAAAAAGCTCTATATCAAATGCAAGGATTATTATTATTATAATTAAATCTGGCTGATCAGCAGGATTTGGAAGAGGGTGGGGAATCCTGGGGGCAGGGAATCCTCCACTCATTTCCTGTTAACCCTGGAAGCCAAAGCCCTAACAGGTAGAGTAGTCCCAGTTAGACAAGCAGCAGGAAAGCTTGCCAGCAGTCATATCAAAGGAAAGCTATGAACTTTTAGCTGGTTAGACTCCAGCAGTACCCCAACGCAAACCCTGGGGTCCCCAAGCCTTAGCTCTTGACAACCTGCCCTAATAAATGCTGGGAAATAAAATGAAATTGTTGAGTAGACTAATGCACAGACTGTGTCCCTCCAGGGAGAGAGTGTGCATTCCATTTCAACAATCTATCTCTGAAATTTCCATGTGTAGGTGGGATGCATGAAATTCTCCTTTTGGTTTGGATACTCTTAAGCATGGTGATGGGTTTCCTCATGTGTCAGACACCTGGCTGACCAAAAAAAACATGAGTTTTCTTTGTCTTTTTCTGTTTGCAGATGGAGAGATATATACTCATGGAACTTCAGAGGAAAAGTTAAAGAAGGAACCTTTAACTGGAGGATTTACTGAAGGCTTGGGACTATAATAGAAAATTACACACTGAAAATCCTTTAAGGAGAGCTAAAATGGACATAAGTGTTCATGAGAACACAGAAAGTATGCAGTTGTGCTATGAATCTGTGAATGGATCATGCCCCAGAGCAATCCGATCAACTGGTGTCCGTATCACACTCTATTTGCTTGCAGTGTTAGCAATTTTGGTCACTTTGTTTGGTAACATGTTGGTGATCATTTCGATCGCACATTTCAAACAGCTCCACACACCCACCAATTACCTTGTTTTCTCATTGGCAATTGCAGACTTCCTGCTGGGATGTATAGTTATGCCTTACAGTTTGATAAGATCCATAGAATCTTGTTGGTATTTTGGGATCTTGTTTTGCAAACTTCACACAAGTTTTGATTTAGTGCTGTGTGCAGCTTCGATCATCCATCTCTGCTGTATATCTGTTGATCGTTACTATGCTGTGTGTGACCCACTTAAATACAAAACAACAATCACTGTTTCCACAGTCCTAATCATGATCTGCCTCAGTTGGGCTCTTTCTTTTTTGGTGGGATTTGTCATAATATTTTTAGAATTACATTTAATCGAAATTAAGGATTTCTACTATCATGAAATAGCTTGCTTTGGTGGCTGCACACTAATGATGGGTAAAGTGTGTGCATTAGTTTACTCAACAATTTCATTTTATTTCCCAGCATTTATTATGGTGTGTATTTACACAAAGATTTATCTTGTTGCCAAAAAACAGGCCAGAACAATAAATAACTTATCGAGGAAAGTCCAACCCATCAACGAAGGCAATAGTATAGCTTCACAAAGAAGTGAAAGAAAAGCAGCAAAAACCCTGGGAATTGTAATGGGTGTATTTATACTCTGTTGGTCTCCATATTTTGTCTGTGATAGTATAGAGCCCTTTATTAAATATTCAACTCCGCCTGTTTTGTTTGATGCTTTTTTTTGGGTTGGTTACCTGAATTCTACATTCAATCCAATGATCTATGGGTTTTTTTATTCCTGGTTCAGGAAAGCTTTAAAAATTATTTTGACCTGCAAAATATTTGCACCCGATTCCTCAAGAATAAATCTATTCTGAGCAAACAGCAGCAAAATAGAAGAGCAGTGTAGATCAGTGATGTAAAACAGAGAGTGTTCCTGTTTTCCCCCTGACTTGTTTGCATTGATGACTTATCATTTGCACTTTGTATACTTATCATTATTTTAATTTCAGCAGCCATAAAAAGTATCTTAGATATTACACTAAGTCATATAAATGGCATGTGGTTGTTAGGCACGAACAATGGGTAAGCACATCATTGGAGATTTATGAAATTATATAATGGAGTGAAAAAAATGGATAAACATTTGAAGGAACAGGTACCACCATATGTCGAATAGACTGAATGTCCTCCTTCTGTGCTGTAAATTTTCTGATTCGATGACATGTAGTAATGTGATCTTGTGCGTGAATAAAAATTTATTTCCATCCTTTGTGATGAGTGATTAATATGTTGTTGTATTCAGCTTTGTACAATAATGAAAATGTAGGGTTGTCACATTTTGTAATGGTTCTAATGGAACAGATGTTGAGGCGGAGGTAGAAGTGGAGCAGGGATCATAGATTGAAGTTTTGATGTTTTCTATAGTGACGATGATATTTATTGATAGTCTGGATCAGTTGATAACACTCTGAGCCAGAAGGTTTTAGGGTTCAAGCCCCAAATTGGGACTTTGAGCTCAAGCTGACTAGGCTGAGTTTTCCTGCATTGATTGTGGTCCCATCCTTCAGTTTAGATATTAAGCTAATGTCCCATCTGCCTATTCAGGTGGATGTTAAAGATCCACTGACACTGTTCTAAAAGAAGAAAGGGGTTCTCCCAATGTCCTCACTAACAATCCCCCAAATAAAATGGATTGTCACCTCAGAGATGTTTGTGATGTGCGTAAATTGGTGTCATGTTTGCCTACAAATAGACAGTCACTACATTTTACATGAAGTTCTTTGAGACATCTTCCAAACGTAATAGGTGCTATATCAAATGCTAGGATTATTATTATTATCAATTATAAGCTCAAAGGAAACTGACTCCTGATTTAACCCATAGATTGCTGGCAGGTGTATGAAAACTGTCTCTGTGGACTGACTAACTCTGCCTGCTTTCATCTCATGCACGGTGACATTGAAACAAATCAGCTACTCAAAAATCAGGACAGCTTTACTACTATAATAACCGCCAACCCAAAACTACTAAAATAAATCATAAAACCACAATGATAAATTAAAGCAATTGAATAATTAATCTTCCCTCATTCAATTATTCACCTACAGAATACACATCAAACCACTACACATATAAAGTGCTTTGAGACATCTCATGCTATGATAAAGCTCTCTCTGTATCATGTGCAAGAATTATTATGAACATTTTATTTCTTCTATTCACTCTTTGTTATTTTAAATATTGTTTACTCTTTGACCCATGACAACCTTTTCTATTTATTTATTTTAACCTTTATTCAAAGTATTCATAGCTTTAAAACAATTTTTGCATTTCTACTTTTGTTCCAGTTGCCACCACTTTGAAAGGTGAAAACAACCTATTTTTTATAGGCTGAAAAACAACTTGATATAACAACAACTTACATTTATACAGCCTCCTTCAAATGGGATAGAATCTTGGAACACTTAATACTGCCGTAGTTTGATGCCAAGCTAGGATGATAGGGGAAGTGACCATAGGCATGGTCAAAAAGGAAAATCTTCATGTGCAATTTGAAGATGGGCAAAAAGGGGGCAAGGCAGAGGCATTGAGGCAGGGAGTTCCAGATGGTCGGGGTATAGTGACTGAAAGCATGGTCATATGTGGAGCAGAGGAGTCGAGGGATTCAGAAGAACCATGTTGGCTACGTGAAAGGGCAGGTGGAGCAGTGGGTTGTGAGCAGGTTGAGGAGTGGGGTTGTAGAGGTAGGGAGGTGCCAGGGTATAACGTGTTCTGAATGTGAGTATGAGACTAATGGGATTAAGTTCAGTTTCATGATTTATGATATAATATGAATTCCTTAATGATTGCAGCATTGTAATTCCACCCGTCCTCACCAGGTATTTATGATTGCCTGATCACTGGCATGTTTACTAACCTTGGACTTATATTTCTCTTGCCAGCACATGTGTTGAGCTGTAGGTGTGAGAATCTAACATTTCATTTCACATTGCCGAGAACAACCAATAAATAATAAAATATGCTCCCCTGTCTAGGGGCGCATTTAATAACTGCTAACTTACTCCACCTGTAAGGAAGACTGACGGTGTGTACCTGTAAAATGATATCAGAACAGTTTCCCAGACACCTTCAGATAAGTTCACTCAGCACACAACCTTATATCAGGTAGTTCAGCCCACATATTGTTAGGTGTCCTATTTAAAGTCATTGAGTCATTCTCCAGTTGTTTGAATTACTCCTTTCCCTAATACATTAACATTGTGAAATGCTACAGATCTATAAACAACTATAAACTAGAGGAGAGATTTTTTTTTACTCTCCTTTGGTCAGGCGGGTGAGTGTCTGACACTTGGGATAAACCCATCACCATGCTCAAGTGCTCTGGAGCCCTACCCAGCGTGAAGGGCGCTATATAAATGCAAGTTATTGTTGCTAAGAGTATCCAAACCAAGCTGAAAAGTCCATGCATCCCACCTACACATGGAAATTACAGAGATAGATAGAATGGAATGCCCACTCACTCCTGGAGGTATGGATCCTGCTTACCTAATTCCAGAATGTATTAGGTGTAGAACATAAGAACATAAAAATTAGGAGCAGGAGTAGGCCATTCGGCCCCTCGAGCCTGCCCGCCATTCGATAAGATTATGGCTGATCTTCAGACCTAACTCTAATTATCTGCCCTATCCCCATATCCCCTAATCCCTCTATTTTTAAAAAATCTATCAGTCTCAGCCTTGAAGATGTTCAAGGACTGAGAACCTGAGTTCAATTCCAGGCAGGGCGAAACCTTGGGCAAGTTTCCTTACTCCACACGCCTTATAATAATCCCTCCAAAAAAAAACAATAATAAATTGGTCATTTTCAATCCACGAATGTTTGTGGGACATTGCTGTGCGCAATTGGCTGCCTCATTCGCCCACAAATATACAGTCAATTCACTTTACAGTATATTCTGTGAAGCGCTTTGGGACATCTAGAAGACGTGAAAAGCGCTATATCAAATGCAAGGATTATTATTATTATTATTGTTATTATTATTATTATTATTATTATTATTATTATTATTATTATTATTATTATTATTATTATTATTATTATTATTATTATCTACAGCCTTCTGGGGTAATGAATTCCATAAATTCACTACCCTCTGAGTGAAGAAATGTTTCCTCAACTCTGTTCTAAAAGACTGACCCTTAATTTTAAGACTGTGACCCCTGGTTATAGATTCTCCTACCAGGGGAAACAGACCCTCAGTGTCTACTTTATTCAGCCCTTTAAAAATCTTATATGTTTCAATAAGATCTCTCCTAATTCTTCTGTACTCTGGAGAATATAGCCCTAGTTTATTCAGCCTATCCTCATAGGTCAGTCCCCTCATCCCAGGAACTAACCTAGTGAATCTACGCTGCACCCCCTCTAGGGCAAGTATGTCCTTTTTTAAATAAGGAAACCAAAACTGCACACAATACTCTAGGTGCAGTCTCACCAAGGCCCTATACAGTTGCAGCAAGACTTCGCTGCTCTTGTACTCTGAACCTTTTGCAATGAACGCTAGCATGCCGTTCGCCTTCTTAGTTGCTTGCCTCACCTGCAAACTAACTTTTTGAGACTGGTGTACAAGGTACAAGGACACCCAAATCCCTTGGTAGGTTGGCTTGGGACCCCAGAGTGTGTATTAGAGTACTGCTAGAGTCTAACCAGCTAAAACTTCATAGTTTGTCATTGAGAGCACTGTCTGCCAAGCTTTCCCACTGCTGGTCCAACTAGGACCTCCCTACCCATTCTTTGGCTTGCATGGTTGACAGGAGCTGAGTGGGATGACTCCTACCCCAGTGACTTGTCTGCCCTTCCAGGACCTGCCGATGAGCCATGTGCTGTCATCAGCAGTGCCCAGGAATACTGCGGACCTGCCTGGCTCAGGAACCGGACGACTAATACCATCAGGATGGGGTTGATTATGATATTCTCTTGCCAAACATGTTGTCTTGGAGCCAGTTCAACTCCAAGGAGACTCAGCTTACCTCCACCTCAAGGAGGATAGTCATTTAATATCCAACAAGCGCAGGTTTGAGTCCTCACTAGGTGGATGGCAAGTACCAGGAACTCCCTGAGAGCTTCCTGGTGGGCAATACAGCTCAGCAAGAAATATGTGAGAGCATTGCCACCATCTTCCTGTCCGCAGCTCAGACACACATCCCTTAAGCAGCAGATACTTACCTGTGCAAATTAATTAAGGTGGATTCTAAGAACAGGATTTACAACATGTTCACGATCCCAGATTCCAGGTTACGCCTTATAGCAGCTGTAAGTTTCAAAGTTTCATCATCAGCTATGTGAGAGATAGCTGCCTTCGGTGTGGTAGGATGACCTTTACAGGACAACTTGTAACGTGCAGCCACGAGGTACAAATCCAATGCCGCGTACCAGGCTTATTCAGCACCAGCTGCTTAATCCAGGTAATAAAGTGAGGACTTGGCAAATAGTAATGTCCAATGTGAAGCCACCTCCGCCTCCAGGATGCTTAGTGATAGGTCAGTGTAGGCTATGGCCCACCATCCCTGCAGCCGCTTCTCATGTTTGCCATAAATCCATCGATCCTGGACTTTACCATTGGGCTGGAGGAAGCCTCTCCTCTGCATCCCCAGGAGCTCGGATCCATAAAGGACTATTTGGACACAGGTCTTATGTGCCGCAAGCTTGACTTGCATTGGGACCTTGATGTCCTTGAAATTAAACAAGGATAACTAGAGTGCCCTATGTACCTCTGTATGGTCCTTCAGAATGGGTCCAAGCAAAAGGTGGTGTCTACCCGCCAGGTACCAATAAGAGTCAACAATTGAGACTGATACTACTCCTATCTTCCAATTAATATCCTCAATGTCTTCTCTTGAGCTGTGCAGAAAACATGATTCCGCACTTGGGGGCATCCACTATCATGCCCCAACAGATGTTCAAGATGGTGAACGCAGTACAAAAACTCTGCTCGCAGCACAATGGTAAACGCAATATGTTATCTCGCAATTTTGTCAGAAAGGCCTTGAACAGATATACCTAGTACGTCCCCCTCGATGCCACCTGTACAGCTGAACCACAACATCAGTACATTTTATTGTCACAATTGTATATAATGCAATGCAGTTTTTC